TCTTATATTAAAATGTTTCTGAGCTAAGTGTCTGTGAGAAGGGCTTTTCTTTAAAGGCCACCACAATTTAAGATATAGTACTCCTTTAGTAAAAATAGAAAATTTTGACATTTTATACATTTTTTTAAGTATTAGGAAAACAAATGAGCACTAATGCATTTTTGCAATCTCAATATGAAAATTTTGCAGATTTAGAGACTAATGTTAATCAGAAGAAACAAAGGCAACCCCTCCACAGGAACCACAGCAAAAGGATGGACTGTCTTACAATGTATCCCAAAATCAGCTGGAGCCTCTAAAACAGATTATTGGGCCTAACTCCCAATGTGTCCAGGTCAGTAGGTCTGGGTTCTGGCCTGAGAACTAGCATTTCTAATGAGTCCCCAGGTGACACTGGTGGTGAAGGTCCAGGGATGAAACTCTGAGGACAAGTTTCCTAGGAAACATGAGGCTGCCTCACTCTAGGCCCAAGTCCGTGGGCTGTGGATTTGTAGACTGCAAGGGAGGGAGACACCCCCCTGAGTGTCTGCAGTGAGCAGGCCGACCAGTAAGCAAAGAACAATAATAAAAAGGTCTCTATATTTAAAGTATTGTGCATTCACTTGCTTAATTCCTGAGGATGCTTATGTTCCTTTATATTAGATTGTCGTAAGTCTTATTAGTATCTGTAAACCAATAAAAACAGAACTCTTATCTTAAGAAACTTGTATCTAAGTTGTTAATAGCCTTTCCAGGAGCAGAATGTTAACTCACATGGAGATCAGGGAAAGGCTCTGAGGACAGACACACAGGGCTTCCAGCTCCAGGTCTGCAGCTTCAGCTACAGGCTAAAGGCATCACAGATACACTCACTGATCTGGATCTCAAAGGCCTTTCCTTCTTTTCAGTAGAAGCAAGACATATACTTTACAAACCAAAAGACCAACAACGTTCCAGACTCTTTGCCCTGTCACACCCAAAAGACAATAGGCCCCCATCATCCTGTTATGAGTAACACATTGGCTGTATACAAACCAAAGTCAGAATCAAATATAGCCAAGAACCAGAAATTAAAGTACAAATACAAAGTCAGGAAAACAGGAACAGCAGAGAGAGAAACAGAAACTCTGAAACTAAAGCTCTGTTGCCAATGGTAGTCACTCTAAGTCAAAAAAACAGTGCCTGGGAGGTGCACTCTTGAATTGGTTACCCACTTGAATAACTTGGCATTATTCCAAAATTGTCATAGTATGACTTTCAAGAAAGTTAAAAACAAGACTCAGTAAAATACAGTGAGAGCATGTCAACACATTACTTAACACCTTTGTGAGGAAGCCAGTGTGATGGTAAGGCCAGTTACTATTTTTGGCAATATTTCTTACTGGGGAACAGGAACTCAAATACCTAAAGGGCCCAGGCCAGCCGTAGAACTAAGCAGGCATTCACAACACCTAGGGAGTGTGGGGAGCCTGACAAACTTGAGAGCACATACCTGTGTAAAGGTGGCAACTTTTGATCACCTTCAGCTAATTGTCGCCTTGTGGGAATGCAGGCTTAGTGTTGCTTATTCCTATCTTCAATATGTTTTTCACAGAAGCTAATAATCTGGATTTTACTGTGAATCTTACCATTTTAAAGTGTTGGTAACTAATCGGTGTTTAAAAAGCACTGTATGAGCCAAGCAGCACATCTTCAGGCGGAAATGGCTCCAAGGCCATCAGTTGGCAACCTCTGCAGTAGACATTAGTTGTATAACATGATAGCAAAGGAAGAGTTTAACCAAAAGTTGTGTTTTTGTTAGAAAAGTTATTAAAGATTTTTTAAAAACCATTCACTTTGAGTTTTCTCACAAGAGCGAGGGGAAAAAAACATGATGTGATAGTGCTTTGTCAACTAGTAATTCAGTGCGTCCTACATACACAATCATGCATTTCCATTTTAATTTCTATTTTTTTGTCTATTTAAAATATTCATTTTTATTCATTGTCTGGAGATCTATTTTGCAACAATGAATATTCTTTACTGATAAAAATGGTTACTATGGGAAATTTTACGTTGTGATTTTTAATCACAGTTTTATATGTATATATTGAATTTATTCAAAATGAAATTATTGATGTTACATTGTCTTTGTGTAGTACTGAATGTGACACATATTATAAGAAGTTATAGTAGGTAACGGGAAAGCCTGCAAACAAGATATTTTGAAAGTATGCTATAAAAGAAACCATCAATAAAACAAAAAGGAAGCCTACTGAATGGGAGAAGATATTTGTCAATGAGATATCTGATTAAGGGTTAATATCCAAAATATGTAAAACACTTATGCAACTCAACACCAAAAAAACAAACAACCCAATTAAAAAATGGGCAGAGGATTAAAAAATGAAGAGACATTTCTCGAAAGAGAACATACAGATGGCCAACAGGCATATGAAAAAATGTTCAACCTCTCTTAGCATTAGGGAAATGCAAATAAAAACCACAACGAGATACCACCTCACCCCAGTCAGAATGGCTATCATCAATAAATCAACAAACAACAAATGCTGGCGAGGTTGTGGGGAAAAGGGAACCCTGGTGCACTGTTGGTGGGACTGCAGACTGGTACAGCCACTATGGAAATCAGTATGGAGGTATCTCAAAAAACTGGAAATGGAACTACCTTATGACCCAGCAATCCCACTCTTTGGTATTTATCCAAAAACACCCAAGACATTAATCAAAAAAATATATACGCACCCCTATGTTCATTGCGGCGCTATTCACAATAGCTAAGACTTGGAAACAACTGAAATGCCCATCAGTAGACGACTGGATTAAGAAACTATGGTACATTTACACAATGGAGTATTACTCAGCTATAAAGAAGAAGGAAATAGTACCATTTCCAACAATATGGATGAACCTAGAGAACATTATGCTAAGTGAAATAAGTCGGTCAGAGAAAGACAAATATTATATCTCACTTGTATGTGGAATCTAAAGAACTGAATAAATGAGAAATGTAAACAGAAATAGTCTCAGAGACACAGAGGAAAAACTGATGGTTGCTAGTTGGGAGGGGGTGGGGATGAAGGAGAAGGGGAAGGGACGAGACAATACAAATTGGTAACTACAGTATGGTCCCAGGGATAGAAAAGACAGTCTGGGGAATATAATCAATAATGTTGTAAATATTTTTTAGGGGGCCAGATGGACTCATGCCTTGTTAGGGAGACCACTTCATAGTTGGTGTAGAGGCCTGACCACCGCACTGTATTTCTGAACTGATGTTGAATAATATTGTATGTCAACTATAATTTATATACATATAGTCACGGGACGTTGAGTAGAGAGTGGGAAGGGAGTCAATGGAATTGTAATAGATAAGCATGATATCAGGGGTGGGAGGACAGTAGATGGGGGAGGGGGGCTGTTACTTTGTGAAGGGTGAAAAGGATAACTATTGCATTGTTCTGTACACCTGAAACAATAAAATCTAACAATAAAAAAAAAATCAAATCCCTTTTACTCTACTGCTGCTAATTCAGATAAGTTTTTTTAAAAAAAAGAAAAAGTATGCTATAATGGCCTCATAAAAAGATCATGGGAACTTGATTTAGGGGACTAAATTTATCAGTGGGAATGGTGATCAATATGAAAGGTGTTTCAGGAGCTGAATTGGCAGACTTTGGTGCAAAGCTTGAATATAGGGCTGAAAAACATAATAAAAAGATTAAGGTTTTCTTCTTGGTAACAGAGTGTTCCCAATAATTAAGATAGGAAACAAAGACAGATTTAAAGGAAATCAGCTCAGTTTTAGGCAAGCCCTGGAATTTCAGGACTTGAAGGGAAGCTGGAGGTCACCCAGTGCAGCCACCTCATTTTACAGATGTGACATTCACGGCCCCAGGACAGTGATACCTTTGATACCACAATTTACATCAGAAGCAGGACTTCAGTGTTCTCGGTACACCAGAGCGCCTGCTGTGTGACTCATGGTTCATTCGGATCAGAGATGAGCTTGTGATGGTGCAGTAACCCTGGGGCTGTGGCCATGTGTTAGTTAACATGGCCCACAGGTTTCTTCAGGACATTGGATACCAGAGCCTTTTTCTTGCTCTCCAAACTACAAGTGTGCCTCCTCTCCTCCTGTTTGTAGCCTTTTCTTCCGTTTAAGCTGCTTGTAGGACCTGTAAATGAAAATGGTTTATAGATGTTTGTAATTTCCTGCCTGGAGACCAAAGGGAAGGTTGGGGCTACAGATGGAGATTTGGGAGTCAAGGACCATTGCTTGAAACATTCTAAAGAATAATGTGTATATAACTATATAACATTCGAAGGAATCTGGACTTGGCCCTATCTCAACCTCAGCCGTACAAGAATTGCTGGGTCTGGGGAAAGGCTGAAGCATTTTATTTTTTCAAAGCTCCATAGGTTTCAGATGCACAGCTAGGAATGCTATAAGCTATGAGACGCTATGGAAGGATTTGAAGCAAAGAAGTGGCATAATCAAATGTGTATTTTAAAATGCAGTTCTAGCTAAAATGGTTGGGGAGAGGAACTTGCAGTAGTCCAGGCAAGAGATGACATCTTTTAATGACTGCATAATATTTCATCAAGCTAATTTTTTTATAATTCTGTCTTGCAATACTTGTGTTTCTAGGGGTGTGTGTGTGTGTGTAAAAATTCAATATTACCCCCAAAAAGTGCATCTTTTGGGTTGTTGGTTTTTTCCTTTGGGATAGATTCCCAGGAGTAATTCTATTGAGTGGAAGGAAATGAGTAGCTTTGGCTCCTGATTATGTAATACCACAAGGGTCCTAATCAGTTTACAGCGTTACAGTCCATGTGGTGGGCCAAATATAACCTTAAGAATCATTTTATGAGGTTCAAAAAAAGAGAAACTATTGGGATTTTTATTAGCGTAATTTTATTTTAAAATTAGCAATAAAGTATCAGAACAATGTTTATATCATATTTATGCTATATTACGTGATTTAACTACATATTTAATGACTTAAATTTATCTTTAATAGATTGATGAACTCCCAGAGGGAGCAGTGAAGCCTCCAGCAAACAAGTATCCCATCTTCTTTTTTGGTACCCATGAAACGTAAGTGAGCAAAACAAAGCTCCCACAGCTCTAATTTGATTCTGTTAGACTACATTGTTTACAGATGATCTATAACATTTTATATGTTGTTAAAATCATTATAATTAATTATATAAAATTAATCAACCTTAATACTTTTCTTAAGGTAAATTATTTTGCTTTTGAATGTCATTTTTGTTTCTGCTTTAATGTTGAGCATCACCCAGAAGTCTCCTTTAGGGTATTTTTAAGTCTTAGGGTGGTCCCCTTACCCCTCCCGGTAATTTCTTTTGTAGCATATTTTATTTATTTATATATGTATATATATATATATATATATATATATATAGAGAGAGAGAGAGAGAGAGAGAGAGAGAGAGAGAGAGAGAGATTTTTCCCATTCATCGTTCACAGAACAAATTTACATTCTTTTAGGCCCTCTCAATTTGTTGGACCCTGAAGCAAACATACCAACTTTTTAAGATTTTCTAATTGTGTTGGTTAAAATACAGGCTAAACTGTTGAATAAAGGAAGCTGAAAAGATAGGTATTTCAAATAATATAGAAGTTTAATTCTTTCTTTGAAACAATCCACAGGTAGGCAAATAGAACAAGATGGGTGGAATGCTATGCTCTAGAGACCCAGGTTCCCCTGTCATGTTGTTCTGCCATTCCTGGTGTGTTTTCCTTGCCTGCTTATTTCTAAAGAAACAAAACTTTAATTAAAAAACAAACAGGGCCGGCCGAGTAGTTCAGTTGGTTAAGAGCTCGCTCAAGAGTGTGAGCTCTGAGCAACAGCGGTTCGATGCCTGGCCCGAGCTGAGCTGCCACTGAGCTGCCAACAGATGGCAGGATGGCTCAGCTAAAACAAACAAACAAACAAACTGGCTAAGCAGCACCTGTGCTTCTTCCAGGTAGAGGAAAGGGGGAAAGAGTAGATTTGAAGGACAGGTGACTTCATGTAAGGAAATGACAAGGAAGTTGCATATATTATTCACAGTTGTTTTCATTCCAGTGGCAAGAACTTGGTCATTTGGCCACATCCAGATGTGGAGGGAAGCTAAAACCACATAGTCTGTAATGGGGGGGGGGGGGAATTAGGGGGAGTGATCCATTAATAAAAGAATTAAGATAATGGATACTGTAGGACAGTTGGCCATCTTGACACATTGAGAATGTATATAATTTACAAGCACACAAATGGAAGAGGGATTGCAGATGTGAGGAAAAGCTAGAAACTGTCATGAAATCTTACACGTCTTCAAATTCAAGGTCATCCCCTACGTGCACTTGAGTGTTAGCAGAGCCAGGTATATGCATTGTTTTAGCTTGCTCTGTCTGCCACTCGGGCATCTTCCTCATTCTCGTCTGGAAGCAGAGCTCGCCAAGAGAGGGCCCTGACGACATAAGTCTTTCTTGTCTTCACATGAGAAATAGCTATATTTCTTTCAGGAAGTTAGTTTTATTTTCTTTTGTTTTCATCTAACAAACACTGTGGACTATTATGTTTTCTTGAGTAGAGAGGTTGCTAGAAAGTAGCACAGTCCAGGGTTGCTGCTTGTCTAGCGAGCTGCCCATTTTTTCTGCCTTGAAGCATATGTGTAAAACATCTTGAAATATGTGCCTAACTCAGAGGATTTATATATACTTTTAATTTGTTTATTAAAATATGTTCTGACACCATAGTTGATATTGACACTAAAAATATCTTACATTTGAAGGTCAGAGTGTCAATTCTATTTCCAATGTACCTCTCCAGTGCATTTCTAGGTCCCAAAGACCTTTTTCCATATAAGGAATACAAAGACAAGTTTGGCAAGTCAAACAAACGGAAAGGATTTAATGAAGGATTGTGGGAAATAGAAAATAACCCAGGAGTAAAGTTCACTGGATACCAGGTAATGGTTTAATTCATTGTCACTTGGTATAGCTCATTTCTTTGGTTTTAATTCCTTTTGGATCTTTCTTATATGTACTTTGTACTAAAAGTTAACTTCCATCCGTTTGAAGTCAGAATTCTTTTTGGCCCCAATATTCTGTTACCCCAGAGGGTTTAAGCAAAGTGATCACTGGAAAATCGAAGTTGACAACCCTTTATTTTGAAAATCTTAAGAGTAAGCTATACCCTTTCAAATTAAAATACAATGATTCTTTTCACAATCTGTGTTCTTTGCTATTTTTTCAAATATGTAGTTAGCTAATATTTTATTATTTTTTAGGCAATTCAGCAACAGAGCTCTTCAGAAACTGAAGGAGAAGGCGGAAATACTGCAGATGCAAGCAGTGAGGAGGAAGGTGAAAGAGTAGAAGAAGATGGAAAAGGCAAAAGGAAGAATGAAAAAGCCGGCTCAAAACGGAAAAAGTCATACACTTCAAAGGTTACTGAGAAACTCTTCCCATTGTTATTAATGTTACATGCATAGGCATTGGAAGTTTTAGATTATTTTAATTAATTCATTGGGCACATAGAGATATACTACCTCTGTGAAGCTTCTGCCTTAGAGACAGTATAGCCAAGGGGAATAAGACAGGTAATTTTAGACATGAGGGTAACTGGCTATTGACTCTTTGGGGCTAATTTGGCCCTGAAAATTCATTCACCTTCTCAGCTGGAGGAGGACTGTGTAGTCAAGAATATAAGCTAGACACGCCTCCTACAGTAACCTCCAGATGAATGCTGAAGGATTTAGGAATATGGGAGACTCGATACTATGCAGGATCCTCTTGGTGTACTATAGTTGTAAATATAAAGAGATAAATATATATACACACTCTTCATATATATATATATATATATATATATATATATATTTATTTATACTTTTGTCTGCTTTAAAGGATGTGCTTTGGCTCTTTTGTGTTCAGTTCTTGTATTTTCTGATCACCAATTCTGTCAGACACTGTACTTAGGTATACAGTGGTGAGCAAATCCATCCCTACCCTCATGTAACTTACAAGTCAATGAATGGGTGGGGGGTGGGGGGCAGAGTAAACAAGCAAATAATAAATCACTATAAACTGTGAAGGAAATGAGTGGGAGCAGGGAATTACAGAGAAGGGCCAGGCCCTCTGGAAAGGTGAAGTCCATGCTGAGACCCGAGAGGGGGAGTTGGGAGGAGGACCACAGTGGCAGAGCAGCAGGGCTCTGAGGCTGGCAGGAGTTTGACATGGCCTGAAGTGAAAAGACAGGTGTGGTTGGACAGTCGTGATCCAGGGAGAGGCAGGCAGAGGGTAAATAATGGAGACGTGTATGCCACAATAAGGACTTGGCTTTTATTCCAGATGTAACGGTTATTTAGTGAAGGTTTTAAACAGAGGAGTGACATGATCCTAGATTGACAGATTGAAAGTCTAGGCTTTTCATACAGTAATTCAGAAATAGAATTGAAAAAAAACATGAGATTGTGAAAACGGTTCACCTTTTAGAAACTGAAAGCAAGATAAATGGATCTTTGAAGACCAAAAATTGGTATAGGTTTCATTACAATTGGTCTGTCACACAATTGAATACTTGGATAAATCACTTGCATTTAGATTCTGGTCCTTAGTGGCTGGATAGACTTAGAAAACTCCTTAAAATCAAGTGCCAAGAGTTTGTCAAACTGTAAACATTTTATTTTGTGGTCTATAAAATCCACCCAACTCACTTACAGGTAAAATTGTATAAATACATCTTACTTCCTGTGCACCCAATGAAAACCATGGTATTTGCTTTGGATGGGGATGAAGCTTGCAAATAACAACAACGTTATTAGAATTTTTCCCCATCAGACTGTATCTTCCATTGCAGTCTTATTTTAAACTGAACTTCTTTTAGTCTTTTGGACTCCACTTAAACACCCAATTGAATAAATGTTATTTAATTTGTGATTACCTGCTGAGCTTCTATGTAATGCTTTGTACCACCCTAAATATCTAAAGTAGCTTAGGCATTTATTTAGTAGTGTGGAAATATGGCTTTTAAATGTTATTATTTCATTGCTTGTTGTGAAGAGCAGAAGTAATGGGGCTCATACATCTGATTACATCTGTTTCTTAAAGTTGAATAATTTTCCTTTGCCACTAAAAACCAATAATTCACAGACTTTTTGACTGCATCCCAGTTAGGTGGAGAGAGAAGCCCCACAGCCCCTCTACCTCGCCTGGTAACATTTTTCTGTGAGAAAACAAAGTTCAGTCAGTAATCAGAATAAAAAGCCATTCATAGCACAGGCAGATTTGAGGGAGGTTACGTATATACCTTTTAACAGGACGTTTATGGATGATTCATATTTGAGCCATAACACACACTGGAAAATTATAGGTGAAAATATTTTGCAGGCAAATTATTTACTGTACACAGTAGGGCTGATCAGATAGCTTCACGACAAGTTAAACTAAAGATGATACCACACCATTAGTAATCTTAGTTAAAAAACAAAGATGACAACAACTGGATTCACAACCAATTCAAGACCACCCTGGTGAAACAGATGAAGGGTCCTTCCCCAAAATTACAGGAATTGCGATGAATATGCACAGAAGGGGCTTTACAAGGTTAGCAGCCTGATTTCTTAGTAGAATACTGAGTGTGACTCGTCACAGCTTTAGCAGCAATGCCCAGTCATAACACTTGTAAGACGCTCTCAGGGTTCCTTGTAAGTCGCCTTTGGAAGCTTTGTAAGTTTTAGGGAGTTGTGCATTGTTATCTAGAAGAACTGCAGGTCAAGGACTATTATTTGAGAATCACTGTATAAAGCAGTAACTGCATTTCAATAATTATACTGTATTTACTAGGAGAACAAAAAGTGTTCCGCTTTTTGTATTGTCATACTTAATCTTAACTCTAACTCAGTCCACACTTGGATTATTAAAACCTGGCCTTCCCTTCATGTAAAAAGTAAAAATGACCGTATTTTAAACTGACGTTTGGGCTTGGTTGGTAGTTTCAGTTAAGTAAAGTGGCAGCAATGTGATTATGGAGTCTGTCACGTAGCTAGAAGCTGCATTCTAAAATATTGATCGTCCGAGGAAGCCCCCCATTTGCTAATTCATTTCTGAAGACCTAAAGTGATTTGGCTAAATCGGTTTTGCCTTAGCTCTAATTTGCCATGTGCTTAAAGATTTTTTAAATCATCAAAGAGGAGCTGTTAGTGAAATGCTACATTTCCTTTCTTAAAGGTGTCCAGTGGGGCCAGCTTTTGGTCGCTTTAATGCTCTTCTTATGCAAAGCACCTCTGGCTGTGAACTGTACTATATTTTCATCTTCTTCTAGAGTGCATCTTAATTTCAAATGCAAGATGATAAGAACAAAGGGGCTAGTTTAGTATGGTGTTGGGTTCTTAAAATAACTATCCATAATGTAAAATTTATCAGTTTATATCGCCTGATGATATAAAAGTTTTGTCAAGATCATTCCATGTGTACCATTAGCAAAACAGCTTCAACAGGTGTCCCAACGTTACTATCCGTGTATTATCTTGGATAGCGCACCTCGCTTCTCTGGACCTCAATTTCTGCTGTGAAAGGATGGAGAAGGACCAGATGACCTTCAGGGTGCCTTCTAGCTCTGTAGCCCTCCTAAGGGAGTGTCCATCCAGCTCTAGTTATTCATTGATAGTGTTCTGGGTATGTGAATCTCAGTTTTCTGCTTTTAACGTCACACTGTTGGAAAGAACTAAAACAGAAGCCATCTAGTCCACCGCTCCTTCCTTTCCAGCTGGTTAAACTGAGGCCCAGGGAGGTAAAATGACTGCTCCAGGGTCACCCCCTCAGCCTTGGCCCACTGCATGCTGTAGCAGTATATCCTGCATCAGGCTAGAAAGACACGATGTAGAGCAGTCACTTTTGCATTTCTTACTTACACTTGTGTGTTTGGATTTCCACTTTTGACTATTAATTTTTAACTTATCTAAACATTTAGAAATCCTCCAAACAGTCCCGGAAATCTCCAGGGGATGAAGATGACAAGGACTGCAAAGAAGAGGAAAACAAAAGCAGCTCTGAGGGTGGAGACGCCGGCAATGACACAAGAAACACAACTTCAGACTTGCAGAAAACCAGTGAAGGGGTAAGGAGACACATGTACAATACTTTCTCTTAGCTTTTATTAACTCAGGGGATGCTTTGCTTCAAAATCATGATCCGTATCCAACATTAGTAACACTGTCTGAGTAAATGGAGAATAGTCTCAGCCTGGTGTATCCATCCGGTCAACCTGAGTAAGAGATTAGGTGCTTAGAGTCTGTGAATAAAAACATGCCGGTGGGAATTGCACCTGCCCACCAGTTTGGAACTCTGAATGGTTTTTTGTTTTTCAAACTTAACTTCAGCAACTTGAGAGCTTTTGAAAGGTGTGAAATATTGAAATTATGAAATGCCACCTCAAAACTTGATAGTTGTATTTCTTTCACTATAAAATAAATGGCATTTTCAAAGTAGGGTATTTCATACTGCTTCTTTCCTAGAATTTAATGTACCCATAGGGATTTTAAATCTTTCAATATTCAAACAATATGTGAATATTGATATTTAAAGTACCCAAGGGGGAAACTTGTCCACCTTGAGGCTTGTTCACTTTTGTTAACTTCTAGTAGCTTCAAAGACACAGGCAAGAGCCCCTTTGTGGAAGTGTTAGTGAAGGCCTGTGTTACCCATCACCACGTAACAAATTATCCCAAAGCTTAGTGGCTTCAAACAGCATTTATTATCAAGCATTTTCTGTGGATCAGGAATCCAGACAGGTGTAACTTGTTGCATCTTCTGTCTCTGGGTCTCCTCAAAGCTGCAATTAAGGTGTTAGCAGGGGCTCAAATCATTTTGAGGCTCAAGTGGGGGTGGGTCCTATTCCAAGCTCATTCAAGTAGTTGTTGGCAGGACTCCGTTCCTCACAGCTGTTGGACCGAGGGCCTTAGTTCCTCGCTAATGTTGGCCTGAGGCCTCGCTTGGTTCCTGGCACACAGTCCTGCATAGGCTGCTCCAGCAGGGCAGCTGGCCTCATCAGAGGATGTCCAGAGGACCAGCGCGAGAGGGCGCTGGCAAGACAGAAACCTGTCTTGTAACCTAATGTTGGAAGGGACATCCCATCACTTCTGCCTCATTCCCTTCATGAGAAGCAAGTCACAAAGGCCGGCCCATACTCAAGGGGAGGGGATTCCCCAGGGCATGCTGCCAGGAGGCAGGAATCACGGGGAACCGTGTCAGAACACTGCCCGTCCCTGAACCAACCACTGATACACGGGAATTAGAACAGGCTTGGACCAGTCAGATTCTACCCACCCCTGGAGCTGGAATCAAATCCCCAAATCACAAGGCTATCAGGTAATTTCAGGGAGGGGCAGAGGATAGAATATGAGGTGTGACCCAAAAATATGGTGCAAGCAGTTTACATTTACAGTTTACATTTAAAAAAATTATTACAGTAAAAGACACATTGCCATTAATCCCCCTCGAACTACTCCCCCTCGCTTTGAACACACTTATCCCGTCGTTCTTGCCCCTTTCTGAAGCGGTTCTGGAAGTTCTCTTTTGTGAGTATCTTTATGAGTATATGAAGAAAATCTTGCTTCACATAGATATTAATTGGAAAATGTATACAAGTATTTTAGTAGTCTTTTCAGATCATTGTGGTTATTTTTTGATATTACACCAATTCTTTAAGTGGTAGTTTCTCAAAGGTTAGGGGCAATGTGGAATCTAAAATTTTTGTATTCTGTTAGGTGAAAATCTGTTGAACTGTCTGGCACATGGAATAGCTCTTACCCATTTGGAAAATGCTGGTTCTCTGAGTTATTTGTGTCTCCCAAATATTTCATTATAAATATACCATCTCCTTATAAAATATTTTAACCACATATTTAATATCACTACCTATCTTGTCAGAAATATCTATAAGTATTGGGAAGCTGTTGATGGTTGGAGATTTAAGTTTTCCAGAGTTCTAATTTTCACTTAAAAGCTACAATTTTATCACTGGCAATAAATACTGCCAGTAGTTTTCCTTGAAGTAAATAGCCTCATTTCATTTATTATTGACAAAGTGCCAAATAGCCAAGTCTGAATAACAATAGTTTATCTGTCACCATTTTTTCAAGTAAAGATGGCGTTCCATGAAGAGATCCTATGACTTGTCCTGCCTCCTAACTTCTGCTTATGTGTCCGGGGTGTCCTTCACCTTCACACACCCTACAGCCTCTCCATGTGCCTCAGGAGAGAATCTGATTAGATTAGCCGGCCATTATCCGATCTGGGGTGGCATGACCCAGTGTGGCAACCTTCCCACGAGGAAGCACTCTGCCTGCTCACTGGAAGAGACTTCCTATCTAGCAAACCCTCAGAGCACTCTGTCCAGAACATGCACCATTATGAATTAGTGAGATAGTTCTTGATGCATAGATGCAAATAGAGTGATTATAGTATGAGAAGTTAAAAAAAATCAGATTCATAATTTGCTTTTATAAGCACCCATTGGACAGCTCTTTGTGTGAACCCCTCACCCCGCCGCCTCCCGAAAACAAGCATGCCCTTCAAGTTGTGGCCACATTCTCGTGCCCACCCTCACTTGGTTTCGGGCAGAAGTAATTTTCTGAGGCTACCATGGGACCGTTGTTCCAAAAATATTCTTCGGTATGGATTGAGTAATTGTCACTATGAATTTTCTAGCAATGTGGACATACAATGCATTGTCTTTCATATTAATATTAATAAAAAGACATTGTTAAAGAAGTTTTTTTGATTTAACAGTTTTTCATTGTTTTAATGGGTGTCTTCCTCCTTCACAAGGGAGGAAAATCCTTCAAAGTCTGTGAGTATAATCTTATATCTAGTGCCTCTATTTGTTAATAAATTCTTAGGAGTCACCAGACCCTGTATTTTGTAAGTTCACATATTTTAAATGTGGTTTTTGTTTTGTTTTTAAGATCAGCTTACTCATTTTGGTAGGAACAGAGAAGGCTAAGAAATGTATTTCTGCCACTTGAGGGGATGGTAGGTTTAGCAACTTTTCTATTTGAAGGTCTTGGAATCACTTATATACGGTATTATATACAGTTCAGTAGAGATGCTGGGTTTGTAAGTGAGAACATACCCACCAATGAGCGCATTATGTGCTTACAAACACATTCATTCACTTGGTGAAGTAAAAAGCTGAAACAGGCTGTTTTTAGAAAAAACATTAGGACCTGAGTTCCCTCTTTCATTCATCCCATGAGAGCATTACGCGGGGGTTTAATGTATTTGGGTTAATGATGAAGAAAACAAAAAATAGCATCCCTGTGGGGAAATGTAACCTGACACAGTTTAAAGCGGGACCCACATTGAAACATTCTTTTAGGAAATGGAAATATTTTATCTTTGTCACATGGATGCAATCTGTATTCTAAAAGCAAGCTAGGCTTCCTTTCTCTTTGTACATCTTAATTTTGTCAACTCTTGTGTTTCTATGAGCCATATGTCACAGTAATTAAGTTGTAAATATTATACAGAATAATTTGCATACACTCCAAATGCTTTTTAAATGTTAAGCAGCTTACCTTTCTTTCTGGCACCATAGTTCTCATAAAAATGGATTACCTGCATTTCTCCATTGACTTTATGTGTCCCGACAACACACTGCCCTCGAGCTGTGCAGAGTGCACACTGCTGCACTCGGAGCCCTGCCAGGCAGTGGGCAAAGCTTATTGGTTTTTTCCCTTTTTTTAATGGAACACTAGAAATGTCCTAGTAGCTCCTTTGGCTTTTTGCCCTGATGGGTATAACGCAGCCTCAGAGGCTCTTCTTACTAAGTGTTGCCGATCCTGCAGAGCAGCTGAGAATCTCAGAAGACCCAGCTGTATACCGTACAGGCGTGGGTAGCTTCTGTTGTTAACACCCTCAGGCATCTAAAAGTTGGTTTTCTTTCTTTTTTTACAGACTTAACTACTGTACTGAATGCTGCATATTAAGAGAAACCGCAAGAAGGTTGTGCGTTTGGTTGTCTAATATTCTTGGATTTGATATGAACCAACACAGTCCTTGTTATTGACAGAACCCCAGTTTGTATGTACATTATTCACATTCCTCTCTGTTGTGTTTGGGGAAAGAAAGAAAAGACATTTTAGCCTTTTTTAAGGTTATTGATTTAATTTCATGTTATTTGGTTGCATGAAGTTGCCCTTAACCACTAAGGATTATCAAGGTTTTTGCACAAACTTATACATGTCTAGGATCCTATTATCAAGGCAGTTATGTTCATAATTTTCCTGCCTTTACTCCACCATCACCAAACACTCAGTTAAATATAAATTCGCATTTTTTTAAATGACCACTCAGCATAATGCGTATTTCCTCTCTGTGACAGAACCCAGGAACCATTCCTAGATATATAACGTTGGCATATTGAAGAGAAATTAAAATTGTCCTTCAGTTTTGAGGCCATGTGTAAAGTTTAATCATATTGTAAAATATCTATTCTGTATTAGAAATAGCTAGTTGACAGCTTATACTTCTCAAAACTCATGTCATTATGTACACAAACTCAGTTTCTATATGTGAAGTCAGTGAGTCTTTTTGTGTTACTCCAAAATAAAGACAACGATTTATTTTTTTCCCACTGCCAATACAATGTGAGCGAATCACTCAAGGTGGGTACTTTACATTTCAAAGCAGGAATCAGCAGTAGCCCTATGGGAAACCAGACAAAGCACTGACTTTTAAATATAGACTTTTAAAATTGACTCATTTTCTTTCAGAACTAGAATTAGAATAGTTAATATCCATCCACAAACCATTATTATGTGTACATTATTGTTGCTATTGTGATAATAGAGAATTTTATTTATTTTTATGCCAGCTTATATTGTGAGAACACATTTAGTCAGTTTGGGTTTTATCAATCCTGTTATGCTTGTCCTTGGAACATCTTTCGCGTATTCGAGATTTGTAGTTGAAAAGTTTACTGTAAAAAAAAATCAAAAACAAAAAAATGTATTGTTTTTACAGAATAAATTTATTGGAATGTGTACTGGGAGTAAGATTTGAGGTTGTAAACAACTAAGTTAGTGTAATTTGGCTTCATATATGTAATGTGAGGTATTAATGTAATTCATATATTAAAGCAAAATTTGTTAACAGCAAGTTGACAATAGAATCAAGTGCAGGTGAGGGTTTTCTTTTTCTTTTTAAACACTCTCTGGGTTTTAGGTTTTTTTGTTTGTTTGTTTGTAAACTGCGGGGAGAGAGAGGAAAGGCTCCATAATTGTTTATACATCTAAGATATTTACCAGCTCGATGGGCCCTAAATTCAGACACTTGACGTTATCCATGTATTGATTTGACCTTATTTTCTTTTAGTTTTCTTATTTTGGTGACGAGCTAGTAAATAACATGAAGAGAAAACATGAAAGCTCTAAAAGCCTAAGGGCATTAATGATGCCGATGGTGATGGTGACCATGGTGACGGTGATGATGGCAGCCAAGGGTATGAACGCACCACTCCACTACCACTGTGGGGCACTGTGGAGGCAGCTGTGTCTGGGTTTCTCTCATTTAGCAAACACTCATTTTTTTTCTTTTATACTCACCCACGATTCCAAATGTGAAAAGTTCATTAAAAGACAGTAGGAATGACAATCTAGTTCGTTTTCCTTAAAAGGTACTTTTTGAGTATTTTAATTGAATTTAAAATTTATAAAATGTGATTATCGCATCAAAGGGGATTTTCATTGCTCACACTAAAACATAAGGAGATTGTAGATGGCATTTTGAATTGGAACATACTACTGACAAAGTTTTAAAATAAAAAGCCTAAAAAGATTACAGAACTTCTGAAAAAAATTTCAGATGTTTCAAATTTAATAAGATTTGTCTTCATAAAAGGCCAAAAATAATTTTATTAAAAATATACATAGAAATACAATAGAAATATCTCTAGTCACCAGTAAAACAAATATTTCATTAAGGATAACGATACAGTTATGGATCCCTCTTTAGCTATTTAGACTCACAAAAAGTTTTTAGTAAAAGCAGTTATTAAAACATCAGTAAACAATATGCTTTCCTTGGGAAAACATTTTTCAAATAGCATTTTAAAATATTCTGGTAATTAGCTTTTTATATCGATGTTGATAGTGAAGCATATACATCTTATGCAAAAATATTTCTCTGATCTCTAGTTGCTGTTTTGAACTTTGAATATGCATAAACCATATTAACTTTTGAATAGTTCCATTTCCATGCTCACTACTGTAGGAGCTAAATTGTAATTTTTCACACTCATTTAATATGTGCAAACAGAACATTGAGATAGATGGTCAAGTTTATTCATAAACAATTTTGAATATTTCTTTAAACAGTTTCTCAACTTCAGTATTCATTCAAAAAAAAAAAAAAAGAAAATATACCCACACAATACCATATACAGCTCACACATACAGTGCGGAAACAAGAATTTATATATTCTTAAGTGTGCCTGTATGGGAAGGGAGTGGAATGGGACAAAATATCAGTACAAGGATAACAGAAGTCAATAATCCAGAGAAGAACATCATGAAATAATGTTCTTATTCAACTTTTTCATCTGCCTTTGTTTTTATGAAGAACTCTGGTTTGTAGATACAACGATAGGCCAGGAGCTGAGGAAGAACTCCATATGCTATGTTTAATACTAGAAAAAGGATTTTCGCTTCTTCGGGGACTCTGTACACATAAGCAGTTCTAGCATGAAGAGAAGCACCGATGTGAGAAAACTGAGCCTGTTGCATTAAAAAAAAAAAAAAAAGGGTAAGCATGAACTTTGTGTTCAGTTGGATGTACAATGAGTTCTGACCATGTTCCTCTGCCCTCAAAACCAGCACTTTCAAACAACCCATAGCCTTCAACATGTCATTGAATTTAGGGCCAGTCTTGACATAACTGTTCAAGTAAAGTACACCTTTAGGGCGGCTTTATTTTACCAGCTGTTTTATAACCCACCCAGTGCCCCAGACCAAACATTAGTTCAATCTAACAGAAAAATCGGAATAAAACTGGATCTTTCCTGATCTGCATTCTGGAGATCCTGTAGAAGGTCTCAGTCGTGGCTCACAAAATGTGTCCCAGAAGATGAAGACAGGACAGAGCTGAGAAGCCCGAGGGCCTCGGTTTCACTTATCAGCCTTTCACCTGCTCCCTGGAGCAAGAGCTCAAAGCCCTTCATTATGTACCTTAGTTGGTTTATGTGTTTATTCATGTATTTGCTTCTTGTGCAACTTAAAAAAATGCTAACCGTTGTTTTGTAAGATAAGGTTACCAACGCAGCTGGGGATAGAATTATGGCTGCTCTCCATAAAGTGGCAACTGTACATGAAGGCAACCTCTTTGAATCTAATTGTAATTTATTTAGAAGCATGGCTGGTCAGCGTCTAAAAATGGAAAGGCAAGCGCTTCTGTGCGTGTTCAGAACACAGGTCAAAGTGTGTCGGTTGGCCTTTTTGATACTTTTCATAAGTACAGGGGAAACTGGATTAGAAAAGGTTTCTTTCTGTGAGATTTGCTCAGGATCCTTCTATCATTACAAAGTGCAGCCCTGGAGCCTGCATTTTCCTACCTTACTGAAACTCAAGATACACAGGAATAAAGAATTGGGGATCTAACTGTAATAGGTGGTGAGTTATTCATCAGAATCCAAGGGAAGAGACAGAGGTAGCACAGTCTAAAGAAGGCGAAGATATAACAAGAATGAAAACTAAGTAATTTGCTTTAAATACATGTTATCTTACATTTCCTTTCATACGAAATCAGTTTATTCTGCTAAGTGGTTAACAGATAAAAGGTGTTACTGAGCACTTGATTTTACCATGACAAGCAAAGGGCAAGTTTTCATAAGCAGCATGTGTATGGATTTATATCAGTGACAGATATTTTAAAAGGCTACATTTTTATAAGTTACTGGTACATCCTGGGGACCTCTGGTATAGGTCTGCTGCCCTCTGGAGATAGAAATTAACAGAATGCATTGCCAAGAACACCTGCATTGTGATCCAGAGGCCCTAAGAGGGCTCTGCCCTCAAACATCTCCTGGGGCAGATGCCTGGAGGGAACCCAGCAGCTGAAAGGCTTTTCATCTCTGGGCTCTGAAGACAAAAGACCTTGAGAGTAGAGGGTATTTGAGAGGCTGCCCTGCGCTGCTGGTCCTGTGGACACTGAGGGAACCCCGAACAGGAGTTTTGTTCCCATCACTATTTTTCCCTAAGGCCTGTTTTGAATAGCAGTGTTTGACTGACTGTAATAAATGTTTTTCTTCTGTACTAGAGGCCAGATTTCAACCCTGATTTTCAAAAATGTGGGTTTGGTGTCTCTATATTTATAGACACTGGTACACATGACAAAAATCCCCAAATGTGGGGAAATGCCAACCCTACTTTGGGAGAATGGGTGATAGGAGCGATCATGCCTACTTGCATGGGAAACCAGCAGTCAGTGATTCCGTAGGCTTTCGTCCTGCACTAACCGTGCAGTTAATACCTCATTTTCACAAACAGCACACTCATGGCAACATTAAACAATGACCATGTCCTTAGATTAGATTGTAAGCCCACTGGGCAGGTACTGTGTCTGATGTTTTGTGTGCCACCTATCGCATTGTTAGAGCTCAATAAACATTCTACAATAATGGTCTCGTGACTATCAAAATACAAAAAGCTTCTACAACGCATTTCTCTATTTTTATACCTGTTTTAGTAGGTCGTTGTCTTCAGAATTATTTAACGGGGCAAAGATGATATTTCTGATCAAGAGGTGTCTGTAAGAGAAGGAGCCTGAGGCCAGGTTTCTGCAGTTTCTGGTGTTGTCCATGGTTCTAATGGTGTGTATTGTGGTGACCACCTCTCAGCGGAGTGGGCACCCAACCACAGCATCAGAGAAACCTTAGCCTCACCTGAGGAGGGTTCCCTTGCCAAGCACATAGGTGAGAAGTGGCTGCAGTGTCTCCCACCTCATGATGGGGCCTGAGCTTATACATCCAAGCGACGGATCCCAGACATTTCTCCAAAATTCACTGATGTCAGGTTGAGCCCCTAATAGTTTTTCATCTACTCCATTCTAAATCATTTTTCACCTTTAAGTGAGATATATTTTAATTTTTTTAGGATGGATGATTGGGCTAGAAAATGAGGCAATAAAGCCAAAGAAAGGTTCAATTTCAATAGTTCTGTTTTCTTATAGAGACAACCTAGAAGGGGTGACTGAAAATCACAGCCCTGGCCCCAGAAAGGACAACTGAGTTGCATGTATCCACATAAATACAGGCCAAAACAAACGTGAACATTGGGACAATAGTCGGGTTATTAGGCCCATACAGTATAAGTAGCTAACCCAAGACTATGTTACCATTTTGTAGGCTTTTCTGAGCAGCATAGTCTAGTGGTTAAGAACATTGAATTTGGAAGCCGACTGACAGCATCCAGTCCCAGCTACACTGCAAACCAGCAGTCTGAGCTTGCGTTAGGTATGTAACCTCTTTGGCTTCCTCGTCTGTACAAGTTGGATAATAGTGGAGCCAGCCTCCTAGGGTTGTCATGTGGGTTCAATGAGTTGATCTTTGTGAAAAGGTTAGGACCGTGCCAAGCACATGGGGATTTTCCACTGACAGATTCAAAACCCAACCAAAATACCTGTCCAGGATCTGTACTCTACTTCATTAAAAACCTGGGCTCTTTGGTTTTGGACTCCCTTGCTGACCTTTTGACAATTTCAAGACTGACTGTCTCCACTAAAGGATAATAAGTATATAAAGATATTAAACCCAAAGTGTAGTTTAAAGAGTAAAGATGTTAAGTGATGAATAACCCTAGAAGTACATGATTGAAATGGGATTTGCATTAGTATCCCAGTTACCCATGTTCTTCCTAAACCTTTCAGATATTTCTTAGAGGGTTCCATAAAGGAGAAACATAAAATTTAACCTCCCGTAAAGTCAACTCTTTACAACCGAATTATCTACAGATCAACCTCCAGACCCTTTTGTGAGAAAGTACAAGGAACCTGCATAGCCAGGGAGCGGGAGGACGAGGCCTGGATGGGAAGGGCGTTGCCTGGCTGAAGTGGAACCGCTCCTGCTTCTGTGGCCGTGAGTGTTAACTGGGCGGCGTGAAAGCTCCCTGCCAAACCCACTGTGAGGCTGTCGCAAAGCTTTCTCCCGGTTTCTCTGATTTTTGGGTAATTATACACAATACACGTAGCTACAGATTAATAAATGGATCTTCTGAGCAACATAAGGTATTTCCCCTCCAGACTTCCTGGGAGTCTTCTAACAACAACAAAATAATAATAGCAACAACGAGGTCCATAGATGATGGCGTGCCAGGCAATGTTCAAAGCCCTTTACGCATATTACATCATTTAATCCTCACAGCAGCTCTATGAGGAAGGTGCTGTTCTTCTGACTCTACATACAGAAGAGGAAACCGGATCTGAGAGAAATACCAAGGTCACTGAGCTCATTAGTGACGGCTGAGATTGAACTGATCTGCCTTCGGAGCTCATGCTCTTAGTCATTTTGGCTCTGGTTTTTTTCCTTTTAATTTTCAGTGATTTTTTTTAGCAGACAGAAATTCTTCAATTGATAGAAAATGCTAATGAGTGGATCTAAAGAGCCTATAATACTTTTCAAGTTAGACTTGCAACTTGAATCCTATGCTGAGGATTTTCTATGGGAAGACACTTGGGTTATGAATAAGTTCCCAGTGGAACTCCGGGCTAAAATGTGTCCTGGTTTGATTTGATTTCCTTTTCTTTCACTTTTTGATTGATCTTTTGATTTCTGAAGGCGGCAGGTTTGGCAGACTCCTACATGGTCTGATATCAGGGACCCAGTAACTACTTAACTGTTTTCCATTGACTTGTACTGATCTAGAAGTTTTTCAAAGATATTTTTCTTGTTAAATCGCATAGGCTCTTGGGAATTCACTAGATCTTTCAATAAATGCAGGTTTGATGAAGTTAGTGGGATCATGATTGCATAAAACTTCTAAATTAGGAATGGTCGTTTTAGCGAGCTAAAGGGTGCTAGTCAAGGCTATGGAGACTGCTTTCTATGAGGAATGTGTCAGATACCCTCCCAAGATGAGAATTCATTTCATTAGTGGTATTGGCAAAGTAGAGAACAAATTCCATGACTGGAATTCAGCATTCTCATTATGTGCACTATTTCATGGCAGTATGATTTGTAATTTCTCTTTCGGCTAAACATCCAGAATAGGTAGATACTAAAGCCCAGCCAAGACCTGTGGGAATAATTCTCACATCACGTTATTCTGCTGGGTCGGGAGAAACATCTTTCTGATGTTTACAGGATCTAGTCTGTAGGCTCAGGCTACCTTGTTCAACTGAGTGGTGATGGACAAGCCCAAGGATTCCTGCAAGGCCTGGGGTCTGGCCGAAGCTGCCGCTGCTGCCAGTTGCTCTGCTGTCTACACTGCCCTTCCCAGAACCACCTGGCTGGAGTCAGGTGTCCATCTGCAGGCTCAGCCTCACCAGCAGGCACAATCTGGGGTTAGTCTTCCCTGAGACAGCTCCCAGCACCCGTTTGCCCCAAGCTCTTCCCTTCCACGCCTTCTGACTGCTAACCGTCCGTATGACTAGGCCATTACGGCTGTCTTCTGAGACTTGACCGGGTCCAAACCCCTGGCCTCACTCTTACCAGCCCCCCGCTGATGACAGCAGTTATCGGTGTCCCTACATCAGGCCTGGTGCAGGGCAGACCCACGCATGTGGCATGCAGAGGCAAAACACAGGTAACAAGTAGCTGTCTAGCTCTGAGCAATCTAATCCTCTAAAGAAAGGACGTGGAAAGAGTAGGGTGCGTGGGAGGCCCCCTGTCCTAGAGGACACAGGAAAATAAGGCGGGAACCAGGCCAAGAAAACAAACGCCAAGGCTTACTCTACCCTCTGACCTATTGCACACCCCGTATCTAAGTGTGTCCTTAGTCCAATAAAGTCCTCTCAGCCCAGCTCGGATGTCACTGCCTCGCACTCCCCGAAGGCTCTCCAACTCCTTCGTGCCACACACACAGTCTTACATTGCGCTATGGGACCTGTGTACCATGCTAATGTTTGCATGAGGAGAGGGACAACAGGATTTCATATCCCGTCTGCCACTTAGTAGCTTTGTGACCTTAGGCAAGCAGCCAGCTCCCTGGAGCCTCAGCTTTCTCATCTCTAAGGGAGACTGAAAACGTAGAGAATGCCATGTGTTCATCACACAGGAAGCCCACATGTATCCGCCTCCCTTGTAGTCAGGATGGTACCAGGCCTTGCTCTTGAAAGATCCCACATGATCTTTGCACAAGCAAGAAATAAAACTTGATTGTGTTAAGCCACGGAGTATTTGCTACTCCAGCAGAGCACGTAGCCAGCCTATCCTTAACACACACAGATACGGACAGCTCAGCACGGTGGGCCTCACGCGAAGTATGGTAATGAGAGCTTAGACCACTGGTGGCAACAGGGCTGTAAAAAAGTGCATTTGAGAATTACTCTGGAGGCAGAACTAGACAGACCTGGCGATAGGCTGAGTAGAGACGGTGAGGGAATAGGAAGTGGAAGAATTAACTCCCAAGTTTTTGACTTGAGCTGCTGGATGCAGGGAAGATGGGGAAAATGGAAGAGAAGTTGTGGGCAGAACCAAGAGTCTTATTTTAGACATTAAACCTGAAATGCCAGTGAGACATCCACGTGAAAGGACTGAGTTTGGAATTTAAAGTCTGGGAACAGTGTAGTCTAAAGATAGAAAATTGGAAGTCATCAGCTGGTATTGAAAGACATGGAAATAAAGACCCAAAACCAAAGCCTGAGGAATCAGGAATTCAGAGGTCTGCAAAGAGGGTAAATATTAATTATCTTCCCTCTTAAGTCCTTCAAGGAGAGGACAGGAACCATTACTTCTGGGTGCTGCATCAACCTTTTTGATATTAAGACAATAAGTCCTCACTTAATTTCATTGATAGGTTCTAAGTGAAACGATGTATAACGAAACTGGTTTTCCCATAGGCTAATTGATACAAACAAGAGTTAAAGCTCCTACAAAGTACCTCAGACTGGAAGGATCCAACCCAATTTGTTAACACATGAATACCGTAACTTTTCAACCCTGTAAATTCTAGTGTGTCTTTCTGCCATCAGTTACTATGTCATGGTTATAATGAACTGGATGGACATGCGTGGAGTTTCTGGATGAACCTCATTCTTACACTGCTTGAAAAGAGCAAGATGAAGATAATTTTAAAAGAAGTTCATTTAGTTTCTTGTAGTAAGAAAGTAAAAGATAAAAATCACTTAATTTTCTTTCTTGTTGATAAGATAAGTTTGCTTTGCTAGTTGTTATTTTGTGAAAATGCACTTTGTGTGATAAAATAATTGCATAGCTAATTTAATTTCCAGTTCTGTGCAGTAGAATTGACTGAACACCTATCCCAAGCTGGGGCCAGGGTTGAGTAGCAGGGGGAAGGATGGAATGACAGGCTCGGGAGCAGAACGTTTTTAAAACGAGTTCCCCTGGTTCTGCCTATCACAGTAGTGGAATTCCGAAATCTTAAATATAGACATCTTATACATAACAGATCTCAATTCTCTTTAGCAGCCATGGTGTTCAGAAACTGGGAAACGGTACTCTAAATAGCAGTACCACTTGCTGGGCATGTGACCTTGGACAAATCATGTAACCTTACTGGCCCTCATCTGTATAAATGATGGTGCACCTATCACATTTAAATAAATGTGAGATTTAAATAAAACGTATATGCTGGAATGTCTTCTAAACTGTAAAACGAAAGGTGACAGCGTGTCTAGTATTTCCTACCCTAAGGCACCAAGCAGAGATGTTTTTCAGCCATGACAAGATACTCAGCCATGACAGCCAAACCCCCAGTAAACTTCCATAATGGAGCATATTCTTAGTACCTGAGCTAGACCTCCAGCGTGTATCAGGGTTATGTCAAGCATCCAGGAGCATCTGGGCACCACTAAGCCATAAAGTGCAACCACAAAGTAAGGGACAGAATAGAAGAGATACACCAACATCTGTATTGAACAGAGAAACATCATCAGCAAATCAACGGTTAACCTGGCCTAAAGAACTCGACAAATTAACATTCCCATCCTATTTCCTATGTGAGGCCACATTTTCCCACTCTTAAAGAGAGAAAATTAATTTTAGAAAAATCTTAGGTTTTGTAACCACTTGACCTGGATTTTCGGATAAGCAGCAGGATCCTTTAGATAGGGCTCTTGAAATTGCGCATAAACTCGGCAGAGCTCAGCTGGGCAGTCCAAAGCAATCTGAGAACAAAAATGAATTCATTATGAAGATAGTCACATCTGGTTCTTAGGTTTGCTGATAAGGCTAAAATGTGCCAGGTTTAGTCACAAGCTGCTTTGCTATCTAACAAAAACTATGTATTGTAGAAGCTCATCAGTAAAAGGGAAAGAAATATTCTGCAGATTTACTCTAAGGAGATTAAGCAGAGGTTAATAATGGAGCAGCACTGGAAACGAACACTCTGCTCTTGGGTACCTTTTGAGTATTCAGTTTAAGCCTCTGGCTCTCGCTAGCCAAAGCACAGCCTGCTTTAGATCACCAGCTTCGCTTTTCTTGGGAATGACTAGCCAGCTATTCCCTGCAGGAAGAAGAGTGCATTTCTATACCACCTTCATCTTACTAGGCCACCCTCCTCTGTCCAATGCCTCACAGAGTACATGGCCTGTTGGGGCGGTAAAGAACAAGGGTTTGAAAGTGGGGTCCTCTCATCCAAAGCCACCTCCCATGTCTGCTTTGAAAGAGCAGAGCAAGTTTGGTCACCGCAGAGTAGGCTCTAGGCACATTACCGGGTCCCCTCTGAGTCACCTCCCTCAGGCATCATCCCTCATGTCCCTGGCCCTAGATCTTATCCCAGCTAGATAACACATGAACCGGCCAGTGGCAGAGCTGGTCAAAGGGTCCCCATCTAAAGCTCCACCCATCAAGCATGCACACACACCCCCACACACACATTCTCAAGTGCATGGGCCTGAGTACAGTTGGGGCTCATTTTTGTTGTTCTCTTAGGTTCAGGAATTAACAGCAAACTAGCCAAAGAACAGTTTCACCACTCTGTGGTCTGAGCGAAGCCTATGGCCCTGCTTTCTCCTTTCCTTCCCTTTTCACCCTGAACCCAGCCAGCCGACCACCAAACAACAAGTCTGCTACCTCAGGTTCCTCTCCCTACGCGGCTCCCCAGCTGTTCTGCAGGGCAGGCTTAGGACAGTAAGTGACTGTCATTGAAGCTGAACATAATTGACTGTATAATTCTGGCTGCTCAAATTTGTTTCTCCTAAGAATAAATTGTGAAACTGGGGCACTGGGAAGAATCGCTGATCAATAAAAATAGTAACAGCAGTCATTTACTGAGCACTTACTATGTACTAGGCCCTCTGAAGGGCCTGATGTTCATTATTTAATCTTTAAAACAATACTGTAAAGTAGGCTCTGTTATTCTGTAGAGGAAGAAACTAAGGGTCAAAGAGGTGAAGTAATTTTTTCAAGGCCACACAGCTAGTTAAGTGGCCAGGATTCTACTTCTTCCTCACTCTGGTAGCCCCCAGCCCCATCTCCTGGCTCCTGAGAACACCTGGAGGCCATGGACCACGGTTTTATCACAGTCTTAAGTTATCATCCTTCTCCGAGATACCTAAATCAGAAACATCAAAGGAACCAGAAGAATGAGACTAATGGCTAATTTTTCAGCTGCCCTAAAATGGGGAGGAAGATACTCCTGGGGACAGCTTCGTCTAAGGACCTGAAGGTGGTATGAAGCAGCCCAGAATGGACCGCCCCCTTGAGAGCTGCGGGCGGTGTGGGGTTGACCCAGCTAGGAGTGGCAGGAAGCAGGACTAGCCCTCCAGGCTCAAATGGGAGGGATAGTTTGTTAGTGTGATAGGAAGTCTGATACACATATATTTAAGTGTTATGTTGATCTGTTATGCTTACCAAGCCTCTAAACAGGCTAAATCCAGTTGCCAGGAGGAGACATATGACCAACATTAAATCAAATGGTCTTCTCAGCAGGTCCTTCGCTTGGACTTCTTGAACGACCTAAAACAGAGTGGGTAACTAATGAGCAGGCCCAGAGTGCCCAAGGAAGAGTGTGAGACCTACTGAAACGTGCATGCAGTGATGGTGGGTGACGAGAGAATTCTGAAGAGTCACAGTTCACATCAGAAAGCACCAGGCATGTAACTTTAGGAAAATCATTTCCCCCCTCAGCTCTGTCTCCTCATCCGTGAAATGAGCAGATTGGGTCATGTGATCTTGAAGGGCCCTTCTAGCTCTGAGTCCATATTTTTTTTCTTGAAATAGCATGTTCGTGGTTATAAATGTAAGATAAACTCATTTTTAAAAAGTAAACCATAAACCTATCACACTATTAATAGATGCTATATTTTTCTGGAGATATATCTACATACACCACACACACACACACACACACACACACACACACACACACTTACACTTATTTTTCACAAAAGGAAGACCTAAAGGGTTAAAGTTGTTAAGGCTGAGAACCTAGCCAAGTTGCTTTGCGGAGTGATTCTGAATTGATGTTCCTGTCGGCACTGCGTGACAGTGTGCGTTTCTCCTCAGCCATCCCTGTGTTTTAACGTTTAAAAATATAATAAACAGTTGTGTGCCTTCGGACCGGGGCACTGTTGACACACTGACATGGAGCCTTCAGAGTGGAACTAAGACCAAGGCCGTGATTACTGTTTTCTTTTTCTTTTTAACAACCACCTCACTCCTCAAATGGGTATCAGGGGTACCAGTTATCCATGTGCCAACCTCAGCCTACATGGCAGGTGTCTAAATGTTTACAAATGAAGTGTTTGTAAATTACAATGTATTTTGATGAGTTCTATTGTACATCTTTGTAAAATGAATAACCATGTTCTGATTATTAATTCATATTTTCATATATCTAAGTACTGCTTAAAGAATTTTGCTTAAGGATCTGATACCTATAAAAGAAGAGAGACTTAGAAAGGTGTCACTAGCTTAGAAACACACACCTTCACAGAGTACCTGCCGGGCCAGGACTGTTTCACCTTGACCACTTGGCTGTGGTTAGAAGAGAGCTGACTCAGAAGATGCCCTGCAGCCAGCCTCTTTGGGCCTGGATCTGCTGGAAATCAAGCCCTGTGGCTGTGGGTGCTACCTTGAACAGCAGCGGCTTTCCAGCCTCCTCTCGAGGCAGTAAATGCACAGAGATCCCTGAAAGGGGTGCTCAGGTGCTGAAACTCCAGGCCACAGACAGCCCAAGACAAACCACACAGCACATGAATATAGAATTGGAGGGGAAGAGTCCAGATGACAACTGGCACAGGAAGCAGACATATTCAGACAGAAACAGTCAGTCTTGGCCACCGTAACTCAGGTGTGAACCAACACTGTAGAATCCACACAGTCATCCTGATTGAAAGCCCCAAATGCTCCAGTGGATGTGACTGAGCCCTGGGAGTTTGAGAACAGGTTACATTTAACTTCATAAAAATCACCTTTGCGGGATAATTATAATTTTCTGATGGCTGATTATAGATTCTGAAACCAGCCCAGACAGGAAGACAAGTATATGGTATGCTTAAGAAAAAAGCAGGACAAGTGCGTATTCCATACTTCCCTATTTAAAAAAGAGAAAGAGAAAGTCAAAAGTTTACCCAAAGCATATATAAACACAAGTAACATTTGGGATACCCCCCCCATCTCAAGTCATCTAAAATTTGGCTATGGACCAGACAATGTTTTTAATGAGACAAAACCAAAAACAGGTCAACTTAGAACTACTAGGTGTTTAACAGGCATGTCCTATTTTAGAAGTATATTTAATATAATAATATCCTGATTTCTTGCATGCATAAATAACCTCCTTTACATTAGCTTTAAAGTCTTAATTTTGAAGTATATTTATCAAGTTCCCATAGTATATCAAGAGTTACCCATAGTACAAAGAGTTCTAAAAAGTATTTGCACACTGAATGTAGCCACAAACACAATACTTGTCCCTCTAGGTTCCTCTAAAGGTCAGGAATCACTGATATTAAATTGCCTAATTGTTCAATGTACACTTCTAAAAATTATTCAAAAGCATTTCTTAAAAGGTGATTGTTAAGGAAGGAAAAACAAACAATTCTGCAAAACAGCTTTTTGGTGAGCTTGGAATTTCTTGGTTTGATTACAACCAAAATAGCTTCTCTGTTTAAAAACAGTCTCCATTGTTTCAGAAAAGGAAAGTGAATTTGAAGATAAAGTTTCTTACCTACAATGTTTCCTGGCACAAAAACAACAATGCTCATAATAATAGATCCAACCCAGTATAGGCCAATGGTTCTATAATTTTCCCTGTAATGAAAAAATCTTGGCTTTAGTGCATTTGACTTGGCATACGATCCACAAACAATGACCCGTAATAGTATCTTTAGCCTAACTTAGTAAAGTACACGAATCAAAACTTACTGAATTGAAAGTAATAAATCAAACACAAGGAACCCTGGTGACCGAACTTCCTTTCTACACATGCATCTTATAAAACCCTCTTTGTGTCCTTTTGAACAGGAACCATGCTTGCTACGCTGATCTGTTACCTGCAGCATGCTTATCACTCTCAAGGGGTCCTGCGTTGCGGTCTTATGCACGAAATGAGAAAGAAGGTTCAAAAGAGAAAGGAAACGGGGTCTACATCTTAAGTCATTGTAAGTATGACTAATAGGATGTTAAGTGGACTTTTCCTGGGGTGTCAGAATTTTGGCCAAAGCCCCAAAGATGAAGATGGTAAGTGACATATACCCCACATGCTGGGGTATTATACGTATACCCCTAATCTTCTTCATAGGCAACGTTGACAAAAAGTTCTTTCAACTGATAACCCCATAACCTACCTCCATAAAGGGCTATGAGAAACTCAAAAGAAGAGTCTTGGAAGGGAGCAGAAGTGGAGACTGCGTGCTTCGTACCCTACCACCCCACCCCACCCCAACCACCCCCAAGCCAAATGCAGCAGATCACAAGAGGCCCATCACAAGGACTGGACTGTCAGCAGGACCGCAAGAGTCTTCTTCCCCAGCTGGAAGCTAATAGAGCTGCAGAAACTCTGGCCCCTCATGGCAGCCTCCAAGCAGAGCCCAGGCATTCGCAGAAATACCTGACGTGTTCCCTAGAGCTTGAGAATATTCGTGACCAGAGAGGCTGGTGCCTAGAAAAGTCCAAAAATTAGCTGGAGCTGTCCTTGAGTTCATGATTGGAAAGAGAGGAGGCACAGAGCAGGCATTTGGTCAAGCTGAATTTTAGCCTTGTGTGGGGCAAGACAACAATGCATGGCCTTCTCTAACCTGTAGCCAAGGGGAGGCCTGGGAAGGTCGCTGGACTTGAGCCATCTTGAAAGGATCCCACTCCAAAGGGCCTGCCTTCTGGGATACAGGGACCCCAGCAGAAAGAACCACCATGGGCAGGGGAGTGACACACATTCAGCCAGAGAGAGCACTGCTCACTGCAGGGATCGGCGCAGTGCAGAGGTTCCTGTGGTGGGGTCTCCAAAGAAACCACGCGTGTGTCCCCCAAGCCAGACCTAGCAGATCATAATGGAGGGGCTCAAGACCCAGAGGACAGCAAATGCAACTAAGACTACCTCTCTTCCTTTAACCTCATGTACATACATTCCCAGAGAAGCTAGCACAGAGTGAGTTGAGAAAGAATAAAAGGACGGACCGTACACTCCAGCCTCAACTCAAGCCCCTAAGCCTCAGGGTTATGCCTGAATGGTGGGAAGAGAGAGAGAGAGCTCTGAACTGACATGAGATTGAAGTTTTGAGTTAGAATGTGCTGGGCTTAAATTCCTGAACAAGACTGTTCTTACAAGAAAACGGAATCAAAAGTTAAGGGGTCTGCCCACGCAGGGGCAGTACATTCTAATTGTAACCATGGCAGGGGCTAATTCTGAAGGACACGTTCAAAGGGCAGTGGGGCCCAGAACAAAAAGCCAGACCTAACTTGTGTCCACCACACATGTACCCATGTCTATTTGTGCCTGTTTGTGTGTTTGCCTCTATGCGTCTTCCTTACATACCCACTGAGGGGCTGCTAAGATGGCAAAGGCACACACACACGCCCGGCGGGCCGACTTACTCCCACGCGATGGCCGCCACCATCACCAGATACATCAGGTAGTGAACAGAGCCGTCCCAGTAGCAGGTCATGTGCCCATGCGCAGTGTTCAGATACGGTTCACCCTGAGGGAAGCATTAGAAAGAAGTCCACTTTAAATGCGACTCAAATGCTTCAACGCACAACACCAGACCTACATTGCAAGTGGAATAAAACAGAACTCATTTAGGTTACTCTGCTAAAATAAAACCTTGTTATGCTACGAAATTACAAAATCGGTAGGAACATGAAGATGTGGCTTTTCCTTGGGGCTGTCAAAACCCTCGGCCCTCTTCCTTTCCCTCGTCCTGGACAAGCTCCTGTCCTCTCAGACCTTCAGGTACAACTGGACTCAGGTGGTCCCCAATCTCTCCACCAGGAACGTTCCTCAGAGCTCAAGACCTGCAAAGCCCTGCCTCAACTGCCCGAAACTCCACATGTCCCCAAATGAACTCAGCATCGTCCCTGCAAACCTGTGCCTCAGGCTGGAGTGGGGAGACACAGGCTGTTTGTCGTCTCCAAACTTTTTTTTGCCCAACTGTCCCTTCTGCTTGGAAAGCTCTCCACCTCCCTAGTCTTACCCCGGAAATATTTACTGTCCACTGCCATCGCTATCTTTTAAAAATGCTAGAGCAGTGTCACCAAGCCAGTGAGGCCTCCCCAACCACTCGCTCTGTGGACTCTGCTGCGTGTGAGACTGTCACTGCACTAGGACCATGCCATCTCCCTGCCACATCAGACCTGGAGGGAGAGAGCAGGGCTTAGGACCCCAGAGTCCATTTCAACCAAAGTCTGCCAAACTGAACACTTCCTCTGGCTCCTCTCAGGTTGAATAGCCTGCATTCTTCCAAAAGCAGGAACCAGGACATCGTCTTGGACCTTACTCTCACCATCACCCCCAACTCACCCCCAAGTCCTTGTCATTCTAGCCACTCAAAGCCTCCCAACTGGTGCCGCAGCTCATGGCACTGACCCTTCCCTTCCCAAAGCAGACGGCAGTGTTCCCTGACTTAAAACCTCCCCTCACATGTGGGATAAAATCCCAACTCCCTTAGCTGCATACAAAGCTCCCCATTATTTGAAACACAGATGAAGACTCTACTCTCCACCCTGCTCCTTATTTCCTATGTGACCTTGAGTAAGTTGCTTAACCTCTCTGGGGCTGGATTCATCACACCATAGCATAAGAAAATAGGACTAGCTCTCAGGTGCCAGGTAGGTAGCTCTGTAATGCTGTGATGGGGAGTCAGGGTCATTACAATCGAATGGCTTCATTAAATGGCTTCATTAAATGCCTTCACACACATAAGACTGACTTGGCTTTCCGATGTAGTAATGTCCTAATAATAACAGACACACACATCCTCTGGGCATTTAAAATACCTTATTTATATGAAGTACAAGTTAAGGAGGAAGGAAGTGTGGATCAGGTGTGAGGTAGGAGTTAGGACTACACACTGAAGAGATTTGCCTCCCATGACCTAATCTTCACTTGCCGTGTGAATAATACCTGGCCTCTGCCTGGGCAGTAAGTGAAATACCCTGTATCGTACCCACTCTCACCAAGTGCAAGGATCTCGCCCCTGAGCAAAGGCGCTTGGGTGGCTGGCCCTTTGGCTGAAGGCCACTGATCGCGAGGCCATACCTCTCTCAGGTAGTGTGTCGTGAACCCGTCAATGAGCCCGTCCTGCTCCAGTCCTATGATGAGGTTCACCACGCTGGTAAATCCAAACACTGCGAACACTAGAGCAGAGATCAGCGGTTTACAAAGTGATAGTGGCCAAGCACTTGGCATTCACCATAATAATGGGTTGTTTTTCATGTTTTCCAGAAGCTACTGTGGACACTGTGAACGCAGACTAACAGAGTATACCTCCTGCACATGGGATCTTTGCCTGTGTCATGGATCCGACATCACTGCCCACATGCCATCACCAAGGGGACACCTACCAGGAGGTAAAAATGACAAACTCATCTAATTACTCTGTTCTGTCCTCCACTCCCTACAAGTGGCCGCCCAGGGCCACACCTGCACCCCACCAGTTACCAGTGGCTAAGGGAGCATCGAGGTGACCACAGGTTTAAAATAATGACTCAGAAGAGATCGTTCATCTCAATGATTACCAGGCAGCGTGTCCAGCATGTTTGCCCTACTCCACACTGGAAATCCTAAAGGCACTGGCTATGTGCCAGTGACAGTGGCTTTAAGAAGAAAGGCTAGTGATTTTAAAAATGGATATGACACAGTACAATGGAATATTAAAGAAGGAAAGCCTTCTTCAAGAGTCTTACTAGGGTTGTGAGAATCTCCTAAATGGGCTTAAAACTACCAGCAACAAATGGTTTAGGAAAAATACTTTTTAAACAGCAAGTGATCAAATTTAGTGTGTGACAATGTATCAGTAAAGCTGCACTTTCGAAGTTGTAACAAATGGTGTCCTAAACTATGTGATGGGCATGCACAGTAGAAAAATCTGATGGTGACCATAAGAAAAGCTGTGAAGAAAGAAATGGAGAGGAGAGTGGGGAAGGGAAGCTGGCTTTTTCCGGAGGCTGCAGCCGGAAGTGCAGTGTTCACAGTCCCCCAGAAGGAACGGGAGGCCCACACGTGCCAGGAATTAGCCATCCTAGGTGATCAGCCATCGTATATCTCCCAGAAAGGAAGCATCAACACCTGATCAGTTGACTGTTCTAGCAGGAGTATCAGGCGCCAGGTCGGAGAGGACAAGGACAGCCTTTGCCCTCCAGGGGGCAGGAGTCTAGCCGGGACCGGGCCCTGAGGCTGCAAGGCTGTGACAGAGACAAGGACGGACAGCTGAGGGTGTGGGAGCAAGTGTGCTCAACGCTGGGGAGTCAGGAGAGACATGAATACACCGAGTGGGGAGGGCAAGGAGGGAGGACAGCGCAGGAAACCCGTCTGGAAAGGTGGACAGGGGCCCCATCAGAGGCAGGTGGAGCAGGGCAGGAGCACAGGGTCCAGCTCCTCTGCTGACTGGCTGTCAGACCTTAGGTAGGTACGTCATCTCTGGAAGCTTCAGTTTTTTATATGCGAATTGGGAGAAATAAGGTACTCACAGTTCTTTCCCTCCCACCTCTGTCAAGATCCGCTTGTGGGCGGAGACTGTCCCCCAGGCAGCTGCTGATGGGCTCGGCCATGTAACTTGCTTTTTGGCCGGTGGAATATGTGTAGAGTGACAGTGGGCAGCTCCCAGCCAAGGCCTTGAGGGGCATTGCTCTATGGCACTAGCCCCACCTGTGTCCCTGTCTCTGCCATCGAAAGGGCACACCTTGGGGAGCTGCTGGTCCGAGAACAAGGTGACCTATGGGACAGCCCTGAGCCCCAGAAGCAGCGCAGTCCCAGGGAGCCTGCAAGCCCCTGAGAAGGAAACAACCCAAATGTCCATCAACAGATGATGGATAAAGGAAATGTTTTATATGTATAGGTATATGTACATGTATATGCATATGTCAAAAACTGGAAGTTATTTGGCCATAAAAAAAAGAAGGAAATCCTGCCATTTGTGATAATATGGCCGGGATCCTGGCGAAGGAAGGCTGGCCCCCAATCCCTCCTTCATCCCCTCCCCTCCGCAGGCTCTGACCTCTGACCTTCACTGTCAGAGGAGGTCCTTCCTGAGCTTGCAGCTGACAGAGGGTGGGGTCCACAGCCTGCAAGAGGGGCTAATTGGAGGCAAGGTGATACTCCATTTCCTGCCACTTTCCTCAGTGTACTCATAGCCACCAAGGGAAAGTGACAGGGGCCACGTGCTGAGCTCCTCAGTGGACACAGGGTTTCCCTGCCATGGGAACGTACATACCATAGAACAGCGGGTCCCGGGGCAGTTTTCTTTTGACCAGCACTTGAGCCAACAGGGCTACCAGAAGCAGGATGAGGGCAGCAACCCCTACAATTGTCCAGGAGCTGCAAGGACCAGAATAGGAAGGCCATAGCTTAGCAAAATAAACACGCTGGTGCCGGGAATTTCCTGGCTATTGAATGCAGTTACTCCCAGTTCTGCCTCTGCCTGCAGCTCAAGTACTGTGGAGTTAATGACCTTTATCTGCAGCACATTGGCCCATCTGCCCCTGCCCCCACTCCCACCCCGTGACTTTTTGGGGACCAGAGCCTCCAGGTCCACGCTCTTCTGCACAGACTGTGTCTGAGCGGCCACTGCCTCTGCCCCTCCAGCCTCTGTTCCCTGGTGGCTGACGGGCTGGAAACCCTCAGACTGAGCTCCAGGACACACCTTCCAGGGGAAAGATGAACAAGGGCTACAGGCTGTCGGAAAACTCATGACACATTTTTGCAATGAAAAACATAGAAAAAATACGGCATGACTTTTCCGACAACCCAGTATAATCAAAGGGACCAGAGGACATAGCCAGTCCAAGGAGGGAACGAGTCTGGGCTGGACCTGAGGCCAGAGTGAAGCTAGCTGCCACACCCAGGGCCAGCAGGCCAGCAGCCAGCCCCACACCCAGAAAGCCGAGGTGAGGCGAGGCTGGACACAGCCTCTGAACCTTCTCCTGGGAAAGGTCTGGCGCCAAGGAGACCAGGGGCCATGGCCCCTCCTCAGCAGGAAGCACAAGGCCACAAGGTTTGGTGAAGTGAGCAGTCAGGAGACCCGAATTCTAGTAACAACTCTGTCACTGCTTGACTGTGACCTTGGGAAAGTCATGGCATTTCAGTCATCTTTTTATTAACTAATTAAAAAACATTGAGGAAAAGGTATGTTCTGCACCCCTATGTGCTAGGCACTGTCAATGAACAAGAGAGGCCCCTGCATATGTGGGGGGACCTGTCTCAGTGGACTCTGAGCTCTCTCATCCAGGAGGTCACCTCCAGCCCCACAGAGACACACTCCCTGTCACACCTCCAGTGCCAGCAGGGCTTCCAGCTTTAGATGAAGCACTGCCTGGCCCATTCCAATGACCTGACATACCAGAGACCTCCTCAGCAGCCCTTGAGAGCTGCCAAAAGCACCACTCGTCAGCTGACAGCTCTCCACACCACCACCACACCGCAGACTGACACGAGGACTTTGTTTAACCCCCGCCATGTGCCCCTGGGACTTCTGGAAAGCACCCTTCGCAGTGACAGGTTCCACAGCCCACCATCGCCATCAGTGACTGAGGGACAAACTCATGCTCAAGTCCACTCCACACACCTGCAGCTGGAATGGGTGCCAGGCATCGCTCAGAAACCCGCCTCCATTGTCAGGTCAGTTGAGAAGTGATCCATCCAACCTACAGGTTGATGGGCCCCAAGGAGACTGGCCACAGGTGCAGAAAAGCCATATCCCCAGCACCTGGCTCCAGGCTCCACGGAGAGTCGGGAGTGGGCTCTGGGCATCAGCTGTACCCAGATTTCCAAATGCCACCCTAGACCTAAGGAATCAGAATACTTCAGAGGTGGGGCATGGGAATATGCAACTTTTCAAGATACCTGGATGAGTGTGGCGCTAAAAGTCTGCCTGGGGACCTCTGCTAAGGTGTAAAAAGAATTGATGGACGGATGAGGGAGGGAAGGAGTAGAAGAGGAAGTAAGGAAGGAGATGTGGTCGGATGGACAGATGACAGAGGTAAGAGACTGAAATAGGTTTCCAGCGGTGCCCATCAGTGTACACTCCAGCCTCTTCCTGCAGGAATGAGGTGACGGGGGAGAGGATGGGAGAAGAAGCTGATGGGGGTCAAAACCACTATGCTGGGCTGAAGCAACCCGTGAAGAAGCAGTGGTTAGGGTGCTGTGTAAGCTGACAGGCATGTTAACCACAGCCCGAGGCAGGTGGTGGCCAGGGGACAACCCCATCCCTGCTCCTACCAAGGACCTAGGCTCACAGCTGGCACCATCACACAGCTGGCACTCTTCTGGACCATGAGAGAGCAGTGTAAACTGGTTCACCGAGGCTTCTCATGCTCTCCACCTCTAGGGGAGGAGCAACGATTGAAGAGAAACTGGGGCAGCAAGCCATCTGTGTCTCCCAGTGAAAGCGAAGTGCTCAGAACAGGGAGAAATGGGTCCAGCAGGGACTGGGGGTTGGGGGGCAAAGGGAGTCAGGGTTGTGACGAACCCAAGGGCGGAAAAGTTGTTTGTCTTGGAATGGGGGCCAGTGGTTAACTGATACCCTTGAGAGAACAGATTCCTACTGAGAGGGGATGTGTATGGGTGAGTATGAGCAGAGGGAGGCAGGGAGGGCGGGAGGGAGCGAGACAGAGAAAGAGGAAGCTATCCCAACCCTTTGCTGACTCCTCAATTTAATTTGCTTTTTCTGTTTTTCAGGCCTTTGTAAAAGGTCTGGTAGGAAGGAAGCTTCAACTAATTCCAACTAATGCTAACTCAACTGAATGCCTACTATGCGCAGGGTTCAGTGCCGGGCAGGACAATACAAAGGTGAGCTATGGCCGGGAAGGAACGTTCTGACCACGGGAAGGTAGCTCTCGTGGGAAAGGCGCAATTGAGGGGGCTCAGAGGACGGAGAGATCGCATCTGCTAGGAGGGAGGGTCTGGAAAAGGAAGATGCGTTTTACTCTGGGCCATAAAGCCCAGGTGTGGCTCCCACAGTCAGGGACAGGGAGGAAGAGAGTCCAGCGTGAGCAGTGGCAGGACAGGACATCCCGGTGTGGCCGAAGCACTCGCATGGGCTGGGCTGGGCTGGGGGCAGGGAACCCCTGTGGAGGCTCCGCCATGGTCTGGGTCGAGGAGGGCCAGTGCCAGGGGGACCTGGAAGGGACACTGTGGGGACAGTGGAAGGGACAGAGTGGAGAAAGAAGAGGGAAGAATGGTTGGGACCAATTATTCATAACTGCCATGCTCAGCAGTACGCGGCAATACATAATTCAGAATTACTCAGTAAATGCCATCGCCGTCCTCCCAGGGGCTGAGGCCAGAATCTCAGGGTCATTGAAAATCCTCTCCTCACCACACAGTCCTTCAGTAAGTTGCACTGCCCTCCCTCCAAAACACCCCCACGTCCAGCCACATTCTTCTCCCTGCACTGCAACTTGCTCCCGTACCTGGAAGGCTCTGCCCCCAGATCTTTCTGTGGATACCTCCTGCAGCTCAAGTGTCACCTCCTGCAAGAAGCCTTCCCTGACCACCAGTCCCCTTTCCAGTCACTCCCTCGTGTCACCCCCTTTTATTTATTGATGTCTGTCTCAACACAGGCCCCCCCCCAAACCTTTTCTGGCTTGGTCATAGCTACCTCCCAAACACTTAGAACAGTGCCAAAAACGCAGTAGGTACTCAGTAAATATTTGTTGAATTGCCCATAATGCCATTTTAGGAGTACAGGGACTGTATTCACAGATGTGTGATATTCACTGCCCAGGGTTGCCGCTTCTGGGAGATGTGCCCCGAGACTGGGTCAGACCAAGGGCAGTCACTGCCCGTGCTTAGGGAGCCTTCAGTATGGATGGGTGCCAACTGGACAAGGCAGGCAGCAAGTGGTGGCCCCAGCAGCAAGAGAGGAGGAAGTCACTGCCCGTCACTGCCCTGTGGCCAGACACTTCTGTGGGCAGACACTTCTCTGCAGCCTGAAGGTCTGGAGGGGGTTTGCAGCCTACATACAGACTGATGCAATTTCCTTAGCACCAACTGCTGTGGATAACATAACAGGTTACTTCCTCGTCCTGAAGACTGTAAGGAACATCAGTAGGCACGGGGCCTGGCACCTTTCCCGCTGCCCAGGCCAGCTGGAGCTGCTGGTGCCCCCGTTACTTAGGCAGGGGTCTGAACCAAGCCCAAGCGCTGCCTCCTTCAGCCCCACCCATTTCCTTAGCGGCTCACGCTGCTTGGCCTCCCCCTTCCCATTCTGCCCAGTCTCTGTGGGTCCTGACAATAGGATGCAAATATAGGCCACTGGACTGACCAGAAAACTGAGGCCAGGCCACACCGTCAGTGCCAAAGCCAGGTCTGGAACCCAGGTCTTTGCCTGTTGGTTCCTAGCTATTTCCACTAGTCATTCACAGCAGTTTCTAAAATTAATAAGAAATGATAAGTATGTGTGTGTCCATACATGGAAGCGTTCCTGCGAAACGCAAACCGATCTGAGCAAGGCACAATCGGAGCTAACACTCCCCCCGTCCCCCACTCCCGCGTAGCCGTGGGTGTCATACTGTCCCCAACCCTGCCCCTGAGCTCCTCAGGGCAGGGGCATTGCCTTATCGATCTGTGTAAGCCAGCCAACTGGCACAGCGTTGGCCCTGAGAGGGCACCCAGCACTTGGCCCAAAATTGTGCCAAATGGCAAGGATGCCAGCCTGAAAGAGGATCCTTGCAGGCCAGTGCGACCCCTGAGGCGACGCGCCTCCCCTACCCTCCCCACCTGAAAAGTTGCCGGGTCTCTTGCTGCCCCTTTGTGCCACCACCCCAGCCCCTCTGCCTCCCCCGTGCGCCCACTTACTCTTGCTGGGCCGCCAGATGGTTGAAGACATAGGTGACCGGGATGGCCGAGAGGGACAGCACGAAGACCCCGGTGGCCGCAGAGGCACTCATCGCCACTGCCGTGCCGCTCGCCCTTCACCGCATCCCACGCGGGCGCCCCGCCCTGGCTTCCGGCGGCGCCTGCAGGGAACGCTGAGCGCTCCGAGCGCCCCGTGACTCGCCCGGAGCGTCCCGCGTGTCCCGCGCCCCCTCGTGCCCACCCACCGGCAGCCGCGGTGCAGACCCGGGAGGCGCCCTTGCTGTCCTCCCGCCAAGGGGCATCAGGGCTCAGCCGCCAGCGCGGGGAGCTGGGAGCGGGGAGAGGGGCCGCGACAGCCCCCTGCTGGGGGACAGGTGCTCCGGTAACGTTCTGTGAGAAGGTGCCCTCCCAGCCAGGAGCTTGTCATGGATGACCTGGGGAGGCTCCAGCTGCGCTCCGGGCCAGCGGAGGGTGGAGCCAGACCAGGGGTGTCGGAGCGGGAAGGGCCCGTGAGAGCATCCACGTGGGGGAACCCTCGACCCAGTGTCAGGAAGGGACAGACCCTGAAACCTGGAACCTCTCCACTGAAAGCCATCGGGGGTCAGTAGGCACAGGTCCTGCGTGCAGCCTGAAGCACCATTTTCAACCCTGGCTGCTCACTTACCAGCTGTTGACCTTGGTCAAGTTACTTAAAGTTTCTGTCTTTCCCATTGTCTATGAAATGGGGATAACCCACCTCAGTGTGATTGTGGAATCACTGAGTTAATATGCACCAAGTGCTTACCCTCTGCTACTCACTGTACTACTGTCACCTGCAATTTCCTTTTTTTTTAAATTGAAACTGACAGTCGGAGGAATGACCTGAACTTAAGAGACTCCAGTTGCCATTCATGTCCACCCCAGGCCAGCCAGCCTGCACCAGGCCCTATAGGGCACAAGGACCAGCAGACACGGCTCGGCACACAGAATGTTGTCAGACCGGTGCCTACTAGAATAACGTGTGCCAACCATTGTGCTGGCCGCTTGACCGTGTTGGGGAAGAGGTCTCAGAAAGCCCCCTGAGACCAAGCCTGGATTGGCCTCCTGGCTGGGAGTGCGAACGGAAGAGAGTTCTGATGCAAAACAAACAGCTCAAACAACCAAGGACTTGCAACACGTACTTACCTGTGACCTGGACATCACCCTCTTCCACCACCACTCCTAACCTTCTCCATTCTCCTCCAACTCCTCCTTCCTCCTAGGAGACCTTTCTCTCCTCCAGCCAACCCAACCCCGCCATCACCACCCAAACCTTGCTGCAGCCAGCTTGCCTTCTGTCTTATACCTCGAACCCCTCTAGCGGCCCTGGGTCTTTCTGCTCGACCTAGACTATGTTCCAATTTCCAAACATGATCCCTGGACCTGAGTTTCCTCTCTGTTTGCCATCTCCTTCCTTTTCCCCTGTCACCTGCGCTCGGTTTTAATGACCACATTTGGGATCTATGCTGATAGATTCCAAATTATCCTTCTGAGCACTAACCTGTCTCCTTCGCCCTGCTCTGTGGCCATCCCACAGGTACGTCATACTCTTGACGGCCAAATGGAATTCCTTGTCTGCCTCAAGACCACTGCAGCTTTATTTCATCAGGTGATATCCAAGCCAGAAACCGGGGAGTCCACGTCAGTTCTGGCCAATGCCGAATGCTTTCGTTACAACAGTCCCACCAACCAATGTTAATTTCCAAATATCTCTTGAGCCTGCTTGCTCCGCCCCATCTGCACCACCATTCTCTTAGTTCAGGTCTGTGCCGTCTCTCATGTCCTAACCGCCTTCCTCATCTCCCTGCCTCTGACCTCACCTGCTCTAGAAGATCTTACCTGACTGCCCTCCTGTGCCCACCCTCCCCCCATCAAGCACCCTGCTTTGCTTTCTTCATAGTACTTTCCTAATACTCTCCCAAATTATCTTTACACACCTTAATGCATCCACTTTCTGTTCTGGGCCTCTCCATTAGGATATAAGCTCCTGCAGGTTTGTTTACTGCTCTAGTCCCATCACTTAGATTAACACCTGTTGCTGTACCAGATGCTTGAGAAATATTTGTTGGATAAATGAAGACTCTAGATCACCATCGTCTGATGGCAAGATAAAGGAAGGCACAAATTGAGCCACAGTTGTAATTTAAAATTTTCTAGTAGCCATATTAGAAAAGTAAAAACACATGGGTTTGTAGATTATAAAGTAACCCCACTGATGTTATCTCCTTTAAACCTCACAACAGCTTTCTGAAGAATATAGGGCCACTTATGGAGGAAGAAACTGGGACTCAAACAGGTGAGAGGACTTGCTCAAGATCAAAGGGCTAAGGAGAGAGAGGGTGAGTTTGAATTCAGGTTTTCTGACTAGAAGTCGCTACCCCCACAATGCCACAGCCGACCAGCAGCAAAGCACCACGTTGGGCACCTTAGACTACAGATCTGACCAGTTGCCTCATTGCTCAGGAGGCTGACGTCTCTCTGGAATTCTGCTCGATGCAGATCAATAATTATTAAGTTCCCATTTGCTTGCAAAAGGGTTGGATATGACTTAAAATAGAAGGCAGGTAGGCAATAAAGTTGTATGACTTTTGGTTTTTAATTTTTTAGGAGCAATCATCTTGCAAGCCATGAGGGCTAATATTATAGCCGTGAAATTTGATTCCAAGCTTCCTGGAAGCAAAAATAGAAACATGGAGGTCCCTGAAGAGAAAGACGCAGTGTTGGGTTTTTTTTGGTGTTTTTTTTCGTGTAGATTAAAAATAATTGACTTATTGGGAGTGAAATAGAAGGGCCGGTCACCGTGCCTGTTTCTGCCATGGAGAGGAAGTGAAAGCAGAGCTTCAGGAAATTGGTCACGAGGAAGTAGGGACTAAGAAAGAACACGGCTAGGCAGAGACTTAGGGTAGCAGCATACAGGAACGCTCTCCTGGAAGATTAAAGTGGGAGTCAGCCCTCACCCACCCCTTTAGCCCCCAGCCCCATGGCTCTCGCTGTCTTCTCCTCTGCACACGCTTGCTTCCCACTCTTTAATCCTTCTGACAACAGGTGTGTTTGTGCTCTTGTGAAAGTCTGCACACTCTAGATGAATGAGCAAGGGGGTAATCAAACTGCTTTATCTACGGGGTGTATAGGGACAGAACAAATTACCTCAGAGTGACCAGGGCAAGAATGGTGTGCCTTAGTGGGTGGGTGACTAGGATCCTGTCTGGAGAAGGGACCACAGAGTGACCAGTGTACTCAAAGAGACACTAAGCTACCCTAAACACTAAGTTACATTAAACACTCGTTTTCTATAACCACGAGTGCCTTGAATAGGGCTACAGTTATTAACGTGGGTATTTTGGGGTGACAGTGGCTGCACCAGCACTTAACACAGTGCCAGGCATAGAGCAGATGTTTGATGGATGTTAACTAAACAGAAAAGAAAGGAGAAGGAAGAAAGGGAGGTGGCGTTAAAAAAAAAAACGGGAAAGAAAGGAAGGAAGTCTGCAGGAAAGTGATAAGAAAATAAAATAAAGGGAGAGATAAAGTTAGTATGTAAAATTTGTCAGAAGGTCTTGTGCAGTTGCTGGATGAGGTCTGCACCATTGTCCTGGGTTTCCTAGCAACCAGAGCAAGAAGGGGAACCCAATCAGTTATAATGTTCACAGTGTCCATAAGATAAAAACAGATCATTTGCTCAGAAAAATTCTCTCGTGACTCCTCTCAAAGGGAGCACGGGAACACTATGTCGTATAGTATGTCCACAGCAGCATTCCTACAATAAATATAGAATTTCACTCTGAGCAGCTGTCTCTCAGTACAGCCTCAATGCAGGTGACTGGCGTATTGCCAAGAGGCACTCAGTACACTCAAGGAGCCAAAAAGAATTACACACAAATGAGAAAGTCTCTGAAGGTTCAAAGATAAATGTTTCAATATCTGGGGGCAGAAGTGGAAAATACCTTCCTGGCAAGCGCTCCATCACTTGCACTCCAAGCCCAGGGCAGACATCCCCAGTGATCACTGAACTCTGTCCCGCGGAGACTGGACATCACCTCTCAGACCTTCCCCGTGGAGCACACAGATAGGTTCCTTTCACGTGCCAGCTTGAATCAACCTGCCAGTCAGAGCTTTTTGATGAATACCCTTCAGTCAATGCTCTGTGAATGTTATTTCATATAATAATGTTTTAATGCAAATGGGGCGAGAGCCAGTTGGAAATTATAGTGGCTGGTAAGAGAGAAGAAATATTCTATGTTGATAAGTAAGGACAGAAAATTATGGTTTGATAGGCAAACCAAGTGGAGGCTAATTTGACATTCTTGCATGAAAAGACTGAGCACCAGGAAAAGGACTAATTTCAAACCCAAGATTGATACTGTGTTCAGTATGTCCCTTGAGTATAACAAGAAGACCTCGTAGTGTGGGTTTGGATTAAACAGACCTGACTGGAGGGGAGACTGAGGGCTTCCTTGACACTTTTCCTCTATAGATGCCTTGTCAACCTGATTCAAGAATTAACATAGAAATAGTTAACGTAATTACCTGGCCAATAAATACATTGTTTTTAAGAAAAGGAAAGACAATATAGCGCTTGAAACAGGAAAGGATACTCCTAGTAGACCAGAATTTGAAGGACACGTAGAAGACTATGGCAGTTGTCACTTTGGTGGTCCCCTGAACCACAGTGCCCAGTATCCGTGTCCTTTCGTAGTCCCCACCACACCGACTCTGGACTTGGCATGTGGCTGACTGGCTCTGGCCAATGGGACATTGGAATACATGATGTAAATGAAGGCTTATAAGAACTTACACAATAGAATTTGTCTCACATGATGATTTTTCTGGTAACCCAGCCACCATGCTGTAAGGAGGCCCAAGCAGCCACGCAGAGAGGCCAGCATAGAGAAGAGCCAAGGCCCCTGGCTGACAACTGAGCTGACATCCCAGCCGGTTCTATATTTATTGTCGGGATATTGCCAACACCAACATGGAAGAAGGTTAGTTGACCTCACAGCCATCCCAACATCAACACCACATCACGCAAAAGAACTGCCTGGTCAACCCACAGAATCGTGAAAAGTTACACATTTTTGATGTTGTAAGCCACCAAAGTTTGAGGTGGTTTTATTATGCAGCAGGGGATAAGTGAAAAATAGAAAGCAGTGATGGAGAAGGGACAGAGGAAATTTAAACCTGAGACCAAAATTCTTCCCAAGGGAGATAGGAGCAGGGTGTGTGTGTGTGTGTGTGTGTGTGTGTGTGTGTGTGTGTGTGTGTGTGTGTTTTAAGGTAGCAGCAATTTCCTTCCTAAGGAGTTGAAGGAGGTTCTGGGAAGGAGATGTGAGCTCAGTTTGATGTGTTTGTTTGACTCCAATAGGAGACTTCTGGTAGACATTTGGATCTCCAAAAACAAGAATTATGCTA